TCATCTGTGTCTGAGATGGAGAAGAAGAAGGAACGGCTGATGATGCTGTCAATGAAGCGCAAACAGGAACAAGAGGAGGCCAGACGAAAGAAAGAAATGGAAGCACAAGAAAGAAAGGAAGCAGAGAAGTTGAAAGAAGAAGAAAAACAGCGGAAGAAAGAGGAAGAGAAAGCCCGACGAGAAGTAATACTTGAAAGATACAAGATCAAAAAGGCCATGGAGGAGGCAGAGAAAGAGGTACAAAAAGCACATGCAGATATATAAAAATAGATTGGTTTGATGGAATATAGATAATGAATGTGTATTTGTTCTGGTACCACTGATCATTGATGTCGTAATAGAAATGGTGCACAACAAGCTTAAATCCTCTTACTAAAATAAACTTCAAATATTTCATAAAGTATTTACAAAACTATACCATGAAATATTTCTGGTATCAGAAAGTCTCTTGATACACAAATGCATGATAAGATTTTTAATTGCTTTGCTTAGCATGCTGTGCATTGATGTCTTTAACACTTAGTTCATTAAAAAAGTAGATATCTGAAACATCCCATTGTGTTGCTAATTGTCATATTTTGTGTACACAGGGTCGCTATTATGAACCGCCTCCTGGCTTCAACTTTGAGCCACCAAGTTCAGCTTCAGGGAAGCAGTCTGTGCGTATGAGAAATAAGCCGGCAGGGAGCAAACCCCGACCCAAGACAATGGCTCATGCACCCTCAGCTTCAGACAGTGCAGATGGAGTCCTCTCACCTAGCCAGGGAAAGAGAGGAAGCACCCATAACATAGCTGGTGGTAGGTGTATGAATAGTTTAACTACCTCCTTTGCTACTTTAGTGCAATTCATGAGTTCAGTTGATATTCTAAAGGCTTTCAAAAGTTATTAGAAATGGGTAAGTTTAAAAATGTGTTGTACTACCACTAGCACTGGCATGCAAGCATGATTGTTATAGTGACTAAAAATCTTCATTTTACAAACCCTTTTCAATAGTTCATGATTGTTAAAATTGTACTCTTACATGCAAACCAAATATTTCAGAAGCCTTTACCTAGGATAATTGTGCATTTATCTTTTTATAAAGCACAGTGTATAGCAGTGTTGATCTAAGCTTGTTGGAGAGTATTGCAAACTGCTTCTACAGCTTACTTAGGCCCTTCATCTACTGTGATGCACTATATATTCTGTCCTATCTTTCCTTTCATTGGATGAATAGCCAATAATCTCAAGCCATTTATTAGGGAAGGCCAGCACTTTGGCATGGCTTGTCGTGTGCACCTGCACATTTGCTTATGTGTGGTGTTGTGTGTGCGTGTTGTAGAAGTTGGGAGGAGAGGCGAGAGCAGCGGCCATGGCAGCATGAGAAAGAGCAGCGGGCGTTGGGGGTCATCACACTCCCTCTCACGTGCAGCTGGGTCTCGTGGCTCTTCCAACAGTTTAGCTGGAGGTAACCCTATTTTATTGATTGAAAATAATGTTAGCCTTTTCTTTTCTTTTTTTCATATCATGCCTCTCTCTCTGCTTTTCATTATTTTAAAATTGATTATTATTTTCAGTCAGTAGATCAGAAGTATGAAATTTAGATTGAAGCACGTTATCCACTTTTGGGTAAACTGTGTAAAAATCAGTAATTCTTGACATCATTCCTTGACCTAGATAAGAAATTGATTGTATGAATGCTAATAAGATTTTTAATGGTCTCGGAAATGGTGTAATTAACTGATATTAATAGCTTTAGTAATATTAATTGATGTTGTTCTTACATATGATTTGCTTAGTTTTAATGCTACATCTGCAAAAGGTACTCATAAGAGTTTATTGAAAGACCCATGCTATTGGGCTTTATAGTATATATGTAACTCTTGGTTACTCAATTGTTGCCTAATGGTAAGAATACTTGCTGTGTCCAGTATTTTTTTATTGCTTTTTTTCTTATTAAATGTCTTTACACGTGAATGGCTCTGCAAGTGTTTAATCCCCAAGGAATCTATTACTAGTCTTTGCTATATCACCCATTTACCTTTTCCCTGAATTTTGGAAAGGTTTTTATTCTTATTCTATATTGCTGTTAGTACACTCAAACTGCATTTTAATGTATAAAAGATGAGGAGCATTGAAAGTATGGTGTGGAAAGGCCAACCAGGCTTGCAGCCCATGCCTCTGCCTAGTATTTGTGTACATGATGAGTACAAGTGTGGTGTAGCAAGGCCCACCTGGTTTGTGGCCCATTACATTGCCTGGCAAGTCTATTGTTGATAATATTAAAAATATATGCCAATGATGTTAATAACAACAGCAATGTTAACCCAATAACAGCGGATAAAAAAGTTTAGCAAATGGACATGATTGCGGGAATGTTGATGCGCATTGACAGTTTCCCATGTGCATCTGGCTTGTTCAGTAGTTTGGGAGCAACATTAGGCACCTAAAAGCTTGCATTTTGATATAATTTTTAAAAATATAAATATTTTGAAGGTTTCCTTTAACCTTAGGTGCTGT